TAGTCAAGGTAGCTAATTTAAATTTGCTCCTCCTCTCCATAAACATCTTTTCTAAAGAAATCTTGAATTAACAAAAAGATTACTGAGGTGAAAACAAAACAACAACAAAAAAGAATTAAATGAGATTTTTAAAGTTCCATAGTTAAAGAACTTATAATAATGACTAGCATTCTACAGTCATAGATATTTGTTTCATAAAGAGAATAAATGATCCTCGAAAAATGAAATTTCCTAATTCTAAGATTTGGTATCTACTCAAGCCCTAAACCTAGAAATAGTAAAATCCTATGTATAATAAGTGCTTTAAATGTTTACTGAAACAAAAATATCCTAATATAACAAAGGAATGGGCCACGTACTTCAACTTAATCTCTGTTGCTGAACACTATTCAGTGTTGAGGGATTCGAAAGAATAATGCAATAGAATTCTTCAGCAAAGAACTGTTGAAAAGTAAATCTCTCTTAAAATTTTACAATGCAAATAAGCAGTTTAATCACTCTAAATGATTAGGTACTAATCATATAAAATGGATTCAACAAAGTGATGAAAGACATTTCAGTGGCATTTTCCCCTTCTGCTTTTGCTTTTTCTTAGGTGGGGGGTATACACCTAAAGTGACTAGGTAAACTAGATAGTCAGCAGGTTATTCAAGAGCTTGTTTGTGTCCACAAAGCAACTGAATCCTATTTGGAACTATCTCTCTTCATCAAATGTCATGGCTAATACTATCACAACTTGAACAACAACACACTCAAATTTAAAAGGGGGCTTTCTCACAGATTTTCATTATGCTTGACCCAACCTACAGAGCCAAATCAAAAGAGCCACTTGACTCAAATGAGCTCAGCTCTTTTAAAACTTAAAAAAACAAAACAAAAAAACCACAATTTTACTTTCAACTCTTTTTTTTACCATATGTACCAAAAAAGTTCTAATTTTTCAATTACTTAAATGTTTACATCAGATCATCTGATTGATATGGAAACAACTAGGTCACTATTCAATATAAGGAAGAAACCAGAGTGAAACCAATCAAAAATTCCACACCTATACGGAAGGGGTGCTTGCTGGGTTTTTTTTTAAAAAAAAGAGGAGGAGTAAATAAACTGTGGAACCAGAGACCAGGTTGCTAATCCCTGCTCTGTCATATACTAGCTTTTTACCTTGGCCATCTCTTCAGAAACACTAAACCACCTTTTTCAGGTACGTTAAAAGAAGGTAGCAATACCTATCTCACAAACTGGGGTGGAGATAAAATAAGAGTTGTGAATTGTCTGACTAGCAGACGTTATGTTCTCAGTAAAGATTAAGGTCCTTCTTCCTTCCTAAAGGCCCAGTTTTCTGCATACAGTCATTAAACATGCAAACTACAAGAACATACTCAAAAGCAATCTACAAAAGAGATTGTGTTGTGTTGTTTTTATTAACCAGCATGGCTAGGTAAACTTGATGTCCAACTAGTTTTTATTGAATATTGGACAGTCATCTTAATCAGAATTCAAAACTCTGCACACAGAAATTGCATAAGTTGTCTTTAAAAATTGCTTTGAAGATAATTATGTATACTATAATTTTAATACGACACTATGAGAGAGTAGAAACAAGGTCTATCATACTACTCAGAATCCTTCACTGGCTTTCCATTTCTCTTGGAGTAAAAAAACACAATATCCTTACAATAGCCACCCAAGCCCATCTCCACTCCTTACCACTCAGACCTCATCTGCTCCAACGCCCAACATGCCCCTCTCCCCCCACCACGTTACCCCAGCCACACCGGACTCAGTGCTCCTCAAACTCTCCCTGACCACATCTGTGCATGGCTTACTCCTTCATCTCCTAGTCAGCTCAAAACCCACTTCATCGGTGGTGCAAACACCATTTTGCAACCCCAAATCCACTGTGCCCCAACACTCCCAATTCTCCTCCCTAACACTGCTTTTCTCCCATAGCCCTTAACACCTTCTAACATAGTAAGGAAGAAAAATATACGCTATGTTTATTATTTGTCTCTCCCTACTAAAATGTAACCCTCACCAGGGCAGGGATTTTTATTTTGTCAGTGGGGGGGGGATATATATATATATATATATATGTATTTATTTATATAAAAATACATGTGTGTATATCCATATCCTCAGTGCCTAGAACAGTGCCTGGCATATGGTAGGCATTTAAGAAATAATTATTAAAATTAATTAAGGCCCTCCCTCAATTTACTTATGTATATGCAAAACAATGTGAAACGAGTTCTACAGAGACAACCTTCAACAGGCCTACATTAATCTGGACTTACAAACTCTGATATTTCTTGAAAATATAATCTTAAATTTCAAAGTCCATACATTTTTTTAAAAAAAAAACATTAAAAACATAGTAAATTAACACCATTAATCATTAATTTGAATTTTGTTATTTAACGTTTTCATTAATAACACTTGGGTTTCCCTCTGTTTAAATGAGTAAATTACTTTCAAATCCAATTTTCAACCATTCTTTAGATTTCATGTGAGTTAAAAGATTACAGGTACCACAAATACTGGGGGAAATAGTAAAAGCAGGAAAAGTTAATTTCAGTTCTGCAACTAACAATTTTGCAAACTTGAACCTCAAAACCTCCTTGATCTTCAATTTCTTCTTCTGTAAAAGGGAAGAGGAGTAAATTAGATGATCTCTGAAGCCATTTCAGGTCTAAAAATTCTATGATGCTGTGAGTCTATAAAAATCTAGTAAGTTACAGAGTCTACAAACTTCTCACACATCTAAGAAAAATAGTTAAAATCAAAATTTTTAGCCGAATGTAACTTTGGAAATCATCAAATCCTGTCCTCTTACAAATAAGAAAACAAGCCAGAAATCAAACACTTTTTAAAAAGATTTTCAGGGGTAACAGAATATTGTCTAGTTTTGGAGTTATTTTTGGTCTTTCTACGTGGGTGTCAGGTAGGTTAAATGAACAATTTTTTTTTTCTTACACAACATATTCAGATATCCTGTCATTTAAATTTGCCCCAGAATTGACAACATGTGCTCTAGAAATGGGCTGCATTACACACACCGAAAAACATTAGCCCCAAAATTGTATCAAGAAATAATTATAAGTAAAATAAATTTACAATGAAAAACTTAACTAGAAAATTCTTATGGCCTAACTTCTAGTAGGGCCCATGGTAATTTAGTTTCCAAACTAACAAGAGCATACCAAGACAATTCCAGTGACATGATCTGAGTTCAGCCACAAAAAGTGTTTTAAATTAGTGATATCTTGTCATTAGTAGTGTAATTAAATAGTTACGGCTAAGTTCCAAAACTAGCTAATTTAATAGTAGTAAAAGGATAGAAGCTTACAAGCTCCAATACAAGCTGAACTCTCATATGAACCACATGACTCCTGAATTCGTAACAAGTAACGAGCATTATCAACACTTTGGATTCCAGAGGATGATGCTGATTGGAGACTATTATGAGCGGAACACATTTCAATGCTCTCATAGAGTGTTTACCGGGGAATTACATTTCATTACTTCAAGCATACTCTTACAAGCCAAGAGTCTGGAAACTTCAGGAGTAATGTCTATGACCGTCAAAATGCTTAAGAAATTGGAAACTGTTTAGCCGCCCTGGTGGATCTTTAAACATTGTAACATTAATCTAAACAATCACCTGTACTTTATGGCAAAGTTTTCTTACAAATACAAATGGTAAACTTTCATGGAACTTACCACAGAACGTAAGTTCTTGAGTATATGGCAAACTAAACCACATATCCATACGCGCGACACCAAAATTCTGCCAAGTTGGAGGCTGAAACTAGGTAAGTGTCATTCAGCAGAAATAAGACCAGCTAAAAACAAGACACCGGGGCATTCCCTTAACAGACACACACATACACCCTCCTCAAAGAGGCCTTTATGCTCCCCATGAGCAAAAGGAGAACATCATTTTTACTGTCTATTCATACAGTAACCTGCATGGAATTCAACTCATGCTCAGATTATAATACTGAACATAGCTTCTGAAAAACAAAGTCCAAGAATCAGGTACATAATTACGAAAATGTAAACAGATAACTTGAATACCACGTTTTCAAGCTTTACTGTAAGACATTTTCCAAACGAAAAAGGGAGAGGGGACTAACTTGACAAACTGTTTTTTAAACATCACGAACGGTTTTTAACTGGCATAATAAAGCAATTACTCCTCCCACCCCAAGGAAATAAAATATGTGCCCAAAAGATAGCAAGTCTGTTTCTCCTAATTTTATGAAATGAGAACAGGTTGCACTTCCGTACTCCCCCCTCCCCCCACGTCCCCCAAGCTCAGCGGTCTCCCATGTTCTCAGTAGAGAGGTAAATATAACCTCCACCAACTGGCCAGTGAAACTCCCATTTTCCAGGACTACGGGGCGCACCGAGAGGTGATGGAGAAAGGAACAGGGCTGTTACCCCGCCCCAAGCAAAACTGCCTGGAGACTTGAGGGGTGTTGGAGCCGGAGCGGAGGAGGGAGGGGAGAGCCGGGAAAGTCTTTCCTTCTCCCCGGCGGAGCGGAGGGGGAAGCCCCGGCTCCGGGCGGGGGGAGGCTCCTCACCCGGAACCCCGGAACCCGGTCCCCGGCCAGACACAATGGAGCAGGCGTGGGGGCCGGGCAGAGACGGAGCCGTTGCCCCATCCCCTCCCCCCGCCCCAACGCCTCCCCTGGCCGCGGCGGGCCCAGCAAGGGGCACCCGGGGCCGCTCCCCGCGCCCCAAACTACCCGGGGCTCCCGACTAGGCCCGGCTCCGCTCCGCCTCCTCGGCTCTCGCGTAGCAGCGGCGCCCGGGCGGGAAGGGGCGAAGGAGGAAGGGAGAGGCGGGGAGGAGAGCCCCGCCGGGGAGCTGGACGGAGGCCGCGGGCCGAAGCTCGGGGCGGCAGGGTCGCCGCGGGGCGGAGGGCGGCCGGGGCGGGGGTGCGTGGCTGCGCCGGCCCCCAGCCGGCGGGGCGGGCGGCCGCAGTGCCTCACCATGTTGGTGTCCTCCAGGCCTCTCCCCTCCTCCTCCGGCTCCGCAGCGAATGGACGGCGGCGGCGGCGGCGGCTCCTCTCACGGGCTCGCCGGGCTCCCGCTCATGCGCAGTGCGGGGCGGCCCCAGCGCGGCCCGAAGAGGCAGCCCCGGGCCTCCGGGAGGCGGAGGGACTGGGGCGGGCGGCGGGCGCCCCGCGCGGGGCTTCCCCTGGGTGCGAGGGTCCCCCCGGGCGGGGGGCCAAGGGGGGCCAGGGGGCGACGCACACGCTGCGCGCGCAGACATCCTCCCGCCGCGCCCGGCGGGTGGGGGGCCGGGCGACACCACCTCCGCTTCCTACGCGCTCCTTCCGCCGTCCGATGGCCAGGGTCGTGTCTACACCGTCTCGAGGAGGGGAAGAGCTGTGGCCGATAACTTATGCAGCTGGGGGCGACTGGAAGGGCTAGGTCTGAGGCTCTAGATCCGTCCCAAACCACCCCTTCCCATAAATATCCAAAAAAAAAAACAAAAAAAAGGAAGAAAACAGTAAAAACACCTCCAACCCCAAGTGTTTTCTTCTCCCAGTCCAGTGTCTGGACTGCGTCGGGTCCCCCACGTGAACATGCCAGAGGAGACCTTAATCTAGCCATGTGGGAGCTGGAATGCCCTTTGGAATGGCCCAGACTCTAACCACACCTGTGACCACAGGAAGACTGGTGGGATGGCCCTAGGGTTCCAGGCGAGGAAGACTGAGGATTCAGGGCCCCATTCATGCGACACTGGTGGCAGATATCAGCGCCTACCACTTTCTCTAAGTATCCACTTAGTTCAACCTTCCTAGGGTAAAGTTTTGGGAAGTAACGAACATCTTTTTTTACCGAGGGTTGATGTCAGGCTTGTCCTAATTTTGGTTCTAAGTCTGCTAAGGCTGAGGGTACCAGGATTCTCTGCTGGGGGTCAAGTGGACAAGTATGTGCTGCAGGGAGTAGAAAAGACTCTTTGGAGTGGTCCCTGCCCTTAAGAAATTGACTATCCAATTGAAGAGATGAGACACTTTCACACACAGAGGAAGGAAATAAGAAAAACAGGTAATAAAGCAAACAGAAAATCACATCTAAGACTGAGCCAAAAAATCTGTGTTTCAGAACAGAACCGACCTGAGTGGAAGCGTTATGACCCTCACCTGTTATCACTGTACTCAGCAACATCCTTTTCCCCCCAACCCTGGCATAATCTGCCAGATCAACCCTATAACTTTATGGCTTTGAAATTCTTATCAAAGCAACAGAACTTCTTTGGCAACTCCTGGGGGCCTCCTAACACTTCCTGGAGCAGCCATGTATCAGGAGCTCCAGGGACTCTACCAAAACAGATCCTGGGCCACCACTAAGCATACATCCATTCTTCTCAACAACCTTCAGTGTATACATATTAATGTGCCAGTCTCCTTGCTAGGCTCTGGGAAAACAGCTTGGTCAGGACAGGCCAGATCTGCCTTGTGCAGCAAGCCTGAAGCTGGACCACATCCATGGATGTTCTCCAGGAATTCACCTAGCATTTGCCCTGAAATATCAACTAACATCTAGGGTGTTAATGAAGAGGATTCACTGTATCTCTTTCCCCATACTGTTATACTTCACTGAGGTAATACCTCATGGGTTTGAAGCTCTTTTTCCTAATTGCCAACTCCAGCGAACAGCTCTTAGTTCTCATTCTACTTGACCTCTCTCCTGCATTAGAACACTTCTTCCTTAAATTCCCTCTCCATCATTTGTCATGATCCACTTTCTTCTGTGTTTCCTCCTTCCTCTGTGACCACTCTCCTTGTCTGGCTCAGCTCTCTTTGGCTCTTAAATCGTGGGCTTTCCAGAACTATCCCTGAATCTCTTTCTGTATATGAGCTGTGTCATGCTCTCACTCACATTCCCACAATGTCAACTACTACCTGTGTCTTGAGGAGTCCTAAATCTTGACTTCTAGGTCCTGAGTGGCAGGCCTACACACTAATTTTGGTTACTCCACAGGCCTGTCAATCTTGACAAATCCAAAACCTCATCCCCAAACCTGCTTTTCCTTCTGTCTTTTTACCAGATCATCCAAGCCAAAAATCTAAGAGTCATTCACAGCTCCTTCTACCTCATCAGTTTTACCACCTAAATAACTTTGCATTTGCATTCTATTCTCTATCCCTCAGCCAAGCCTATATTATCTCTCTTCTCATCAACAGCCTCTTAACCAATGTTCTGGCCTCTACTCTTTCCACACTGCTCCAGAGTTCTCTTTCTATAACACAAATCTGAATTTCATCCTTAAAACTCTCCTTGGGCTCCATAAACGTGAGCCTCTTTGGTGTTCCCCACTGCTCCAGAGTTCTCTTTCTATAACACAAATCTGAATTTCATCCTTAAAACTCTCCTTGGGCTCCATAAACGTGAGCCTCTTTGGTGTGGCATACAAGGCTATCTCCCCATAATCTGTCCACTCACCTTGCTGTCTTCCACCACCTCCCACACAAATACACCTCATATTTCAGTTTTAACAGTCCAAGCTTGCCATTTCTCATTCTGCTATCCCTGGAGGACTGGCTAACACTGACTGAGGGCTTTCCATATACCAGGCACTGTTTTAAACCCATGACACATTCTAACTCACATAATCCTCACTTCAACCTATGAACTATGACCAATGATTATGCCCATTCTACCAAGGAAGAAACTGAAGCATGGAGAGGTTAAATAACATGCCAAATGTTCCTCAGCTGATATGTAGTAGAGCTGGGACTTAAACTCAGGATAGTCTGGCTACAGGCTCTATTCTCTCTTTTTTTTTTTTTTTCGGTATGCGGGCC